AAAAAAAAAAAAAGGTCAATAGTCGTCAATAGTTTGACTTGATTGTTCTATCGTAGCACCCAGAATTACTTTTGTTTTGATATTTAAGGATAAACATTAATATTCGGTTTCAGTGCATATTCTGGATAATATGGTTTATGACACAGAATTCTGATTAATACTGGTTAATACCAAAAGACTGTCAAACAGTCATTTTAAAAGAAAATGGAAAGGTGAAAATATAACTGTAAAAACATGTTCAGAATTGACCCTTTTTAATATCATGTTCTTGTTGTTTTCATAATCATCTTGATCAAATTAAAGTACATTTGATATAAATTATTAGAGAATGTTCTTCGCTTCAGAAATACTTTCCACTGACATAATTGAAGATGCATTTGAAGAAAAATCGTATTAACCAATAAAATCAGAGTTAACTATCCACAATCTGAACACATCCAGATAGATAAAGTCTAACGATGTAAACGCTGAAATACAGAATTTGTCTTTGAAAGTGTAATAGTATTAGTCTGTTATCACATTTTTGGAAAAAATTCTAAGTGTGAGTGTGTGTGTTTCAGACATATCTGTGGGAGATGAGCAGTGGTGTGGAGGAGATTCCCCCAGGGATTGTCAACAAAGAGCACATCATTTTCGGCAACATGCAAGACCTATTAGAGTTCCATCACAAGTCAGTGAACCTTATAACCTGCGATTCTTATAATTATGTATTTCTAACGTCCTTTACTTACTTACCATTTACTTACCATTAACATGCTTCTCTGTCCTTTTCTCAGTATTTTCCTTAAAGAACTGGAAAAATATGAGCAGCTTCCAGAGGATGTGGGTCACTGTTTCGTCACATGGGTGAGTGTCAGTGTGCTAGAGATAATCTTATCAAGATGTGCACCAGACTCATGTAACAATATATTGACATTAAATCAGATCATTAGGACACATATCTAGGTTGCACTGTATTTGACAGTACATGCACTTACAGTTTACATACAATGGAAGTACTGAGTAATATA